AGAAAGAAAGAGAAAGAAGAAGGAAAAGAAAAGGAAAAGAATGAGAGAGAGAAAGTATGTGAGTGTGTGTGTCACGTTGCGTTGATAATTTATACTTTTAAATAATTAGTCGATTTACCATGCATAAGAAATACATTAAAATGATTTTTCTTGTTTTAAATAAGTTTTCTAATAATTTTTGTAGAATAATACATACACATAATAAAAGGAAGTTTACAAACTTAACAAAACCGCATGAGTAATTCGTGTATGCTCATGTCTACGATGTATACCGTGGATATTGTCCATTACAATTCATTATAAAAAAGTATAATTATGTAATTTTTAGTGTCTGTATTTTAAATAATATTAAAAGAAACATGTATTTAAAACATCGATTAAACATGTTTTTAACATGTTTTATATGTTTTTTATCAATTCTGATTTAAATTCTAAGAAAATATGCTTATTTATAAGAGTCTCTATATTTATAATAATTCCTTGCAGGTTTATAAGAATCTTTATTCAGTATATTTTGATTTTAATTAAATCTGTTATATGTTCTTCTTCAATCAAAGAATATTCCGAGTTCTTTATTTTAACTATTCTTGAGGTAGCTTCATTTATAGCGAAAAAGAATAGCATTTAGAATATATCATCTTTTTTACAACAATTCCCAAAAATCTACCCGAACGATCCCATACATAATCTAAAATTAAAATTTTAGAAAGGCAGAAATTTTGAGTGAGATCAGGTGTACAATCGCAGCGTGCACTGTTCTTTAATTATTGAAATTGCATGAAAAAGAAATACTTGCTTTGCATTTGTTGTGCCCCGCGTCAATATCGGAGAAAGTGGATGACGGGAGAGGAAACATCTAAATAATTGGCATCTGCTTCACAAAATGCCTGTTTGTCGGCTGAGTGCCGTTTAATTTGCATTAACAAGCTGTTTGGCATATTCACTTTGCATTCCCGTAAATCGAGTTACTCCTCGAATATAGTTGTTAGGAATACATTGGTCAGGGGCATGCTGTATAAACGAAAGTTGTCTATTGATTAGTGGGATGCACTTTCCGCTAACTTTTCATCTCGTTGTCGCTTCAAAAATGCAAACCATATGTAATCGTATTAATTATCATATAATTACAGGACGTATCCCTGAAAAATTTTTAGTCGCTTTACGACTATGCAGATTACATCAGACGTTACGTCAACGATCGAGAAGAATGTAAAAAATTTTCCTCACGCGATATAAATCTATCTGCGCCATATTCGCGTTTTCAGCTGAAACGTAACATTTCCAAGCAAAAGGAGGAAATCTAAATGGCAAGCGGCACGCTTTATGTCGCGCGTCGCAAAACGGCCTACCGGCTCTCTCTCGTCGTTGAGAAACCCTCGCGAGGAAGAAAACATGTGTCGGCATAAAGAAAAGTACGAAATATCGAACGTGACGGTAGACGAGAGCAAAGCTCTTTGGAGACACTCGTTTTCATTTCGAACGAGAAAGGACCGTGCGGCAAAAAGGGGACGCCACGAAAGTATATTTCATTATATACAGGGCTGCAGATATCGCCACGGTTTACTACCCTCCCCCGTCCTCCGTTCTCCAGGTCGATGGATAACCATCGCGTGCGAAGCAGAAAATATTTTATCCCGCGTATAAAGGAACCTCCGTTCCATCGATAAAAGAATCGAATACGAATCGCGACTGATGTCAGTCACCTCTCGAACGACACGAGGAATCCACGGACCAATCATTCGTGGATTTTTCAGTCAGCATAGGTTTTATGCCGTGACTCGCATTCGTATAAGAGGATTAAAAGAGATCGCGATGCGCGTATCAAGAGGCACAGACACACCGAGTGACTTCCGCGCGGTCGAAAGCGACGAAGAGAAACAGGACTTTCACATGCGATAAGATTCCGTATAACATCAGGAGATTTAGAGTTGGTTCTATCATTGTTATTCTTTCCCTCTCCCCCCTCCCCCCTCCAATTCTCTGTTGTTACAAATAGAATATTTTAGACGACAAATTATAAAATTAATAAAAACTTTCTGGCGCGACCTCCATCATGTTGCCCGTCCGAGACCGCCTACGCCCTCGAGCATTGACATAAGTCGTTGTTTGTCTGTTGTCATAGGCGTCACGATGGATATCCTGTCAGGAAAGAAAATTGCACATTCGTCACGAATTTGTTCCGATATATTATTCCTTCCTTTCGAACGAAAATTACACGTTCACCCTCTAGTAATTCTCGAAAATCGAGACATTATAGTTCCTTCGATCAAGGCTCTCTTTGTAACACCTGAGGCACTTGGAATGCATTTGGAGCGTTTGGCATAAATTTCGTAAGAAATTCGACGCCTATGGGGTGAAACGATCGCCGTAAGAGACGACGTCCGCTCGCCGCTTCGTCTTCCCGACGAGCAGACCCATACACGGCAGCCGTACACTCTGCAAGCGGAAGCCATGAATCTTTATTAAATCCACGAAATTTATGTCGAAGCGGTCGCGTGGATTGTGAAACGTGCGCCGCGCGATGAGTCCCCGTAAGAGTATTTATTTTGTCCCTCAATTCTCTCGTCCAACCCCTCGTGCAATATGCGCAATCTCCGTTTACTCTGTTCGGGTCGTTTACATTGTGTAATAAAATATGCCATTCCACGTATGTACGTACATGTATACACGTATTTATGCATAATGCGGCTCTTTCCTTTTTTTTTTCCCTTTTTTTTTTCCCATTTTCAGTGACGCGCGTCCGCCTTCACCGAGCGAATAATCACTGTCCGCGAGGCAGATGGACATGATATTTAATTTGACACGATAAATAGCTCCTACCGCGAGGGCGAATACTTTCCATTCCTACGCACGCATAATTTCTGATTTAAAACGACATCAACACGAACCCGCTCGGTTCTGTTGTTTTACCAATCCGTTCTTTTTTTTTTTTTTTTCAATTACTTTCACTGTACGCGATCGAGGAATAAAGTCGATTTTTATATACGAGGGTATTCCCCTTGCTCGACGAGCTCTGTATTTTGTACCAGCCTCTTTAAGAGGCGATATTATCATAGTGATTTATTTCGATCTTCTCGCCTCTCTACGTACCGGCGTTATTGCTACCATAAATTCAAGCGCGTTCACGATGTTTGATATATCCGACCTGACCTACGCTTGTCTCTCAGTTGTCTACTCTCCCAAGCACTCTAGAAATTTCGGCATTTCCGTGAGAATATTGAAATTTCCTTTATCGTCTCGTTTACTCTATTTTACTCTTTTCTGCATTTGTGAATTATACGTGCCGTTATAATTCGTATATAAATGCACTAGTTTTGTTAGTTATTTTATCTGTGATATCTCAAACTTTTTTATTTATCTGATCTGAGATATTTTATCTTGTTCCATATATTGATCGTTCCTACAATACGCATTCTAACAGTTACATATAGTGGATAGATGCGATAGATCGAGTTTCGTAGTAAACATTGATATCGTTGGCAAAGAATTCAAATTCAAATTTTTAGCCAAGATGTATTTTGTAAGATCGACACTCGTCTTTAAAAAATGTAAAATAATAAATTTCGAGTGCAAAATTCTTTCAGCCAAGTTTATTATTGTAAATTCTTGTCATTTTGTAAACTCTGTAAATTATTTATTCTAAATTTGTAGCGACTTACATGCACCTATAAGTTTATGATTTTGACAAGCAATTTTAAATATACTCAACAATTAAAGGTGTAACGCAGATAGGCAAAATCCAGTAGATAAAAATGCGTATAATAGCATCAGATTTATATTTTATTTGTAACTTAGTTTAGGCCGTAATTAAAATTAATAATAATAACACCATGCTACAAGACAAATGTTATCTCTCTGCGGTCGAGGTTGATAACGAGTGTTCACTAATTAGTAGTTAAAACACCGCAAGCGAGCGCGGGCGATGTCAATTCTTGTGAATACATACGTCAAGGGCTTATTAGTCAGCACGAGCTTCGCGCAAGGAACTTCACGTTTATTACGCAAGATGCATAAATTTTCTACAAAAGCCAATAAACTTGATCACATTTAAATGACGAATGGAATCGGGTAGCTCGTACGTCTTGATGCCGAAGCAACAGCTTAGTAGGGATGGTTTATAGCGGATCGGAGAAGAGTAGGAAGAAGAGTGTGTACAGTATAAGTCGGAAGTAACGATAGGCGGGGAAGAGAAAGAAGAGAGAGAGAGAGAGAGAGGGGGGGGAGATATGGGGGGTAGGAGAAAAGGTATGTCTGTGATAAAAGCAGGTAGTGGGTTGATATCAGAGAGATAGAATGAGAGAGACAGAGTGAGAGGGGGGGGGAGGAGAAATAGAGGGAGAGAGAGAGAGAGAGAGAGAGAGAGAGAGAGAGAGAGAAGGGGGGGAGTTACCTACACTACGTTTAAACTCAACGGGGAAAACTGTGAGAGCAGAAGCGCGAGCGCGAGCTTGGAGCGTGGGTGCGGACTTCAGAGTTCAGTCGCGTGCGATGCGCGCTCTTAGCCGCTACGTGTCCCTTAGCTCCGATTTTTAACGACCGAGAATGACCGCGAACGTGAAAGATACGCGCGTAAAATTAGACATGTATTAACGGATTTATTAAAATTCTCCATGGTCATTTTTTCATAAAGGTGTAACGAAATATCTCCACTGCAATACATTTTTTTTACAATACGATAGTCTACTCGGAGTACCAATCAGAACCGGTGAGAAATAAATCGAGAAATAAATCGTGGATCGCGATATTGCAAACGGCAAAATGCGACGTAAACGATAGAATCGCGGTCGTGGAAATCGTATCGGGAAAGGTGCGCTATTTTCGATTGGCTTTCGATTACACGGAATCGAAATTGACGAGTTCAACGGGACGGAGTACGAGCTTCGTGTTTGATACAGTTTGATGGAACGATGTATATTTTACTATCGGCAAGTTTTTGCCGGTTGAGGAAATTGTAATTAAAACTTTACAAATAGAAATTACTAACAATAAAAGAAAGAGAGAGAGAGAGAGAGAGAGAGAGAGAGAGAAGGAAAAGAGAGAAGGTGAGAAAGAAAAAAAAGCGTACAAGATGGAAAATGTAAACAATAGTGCTTCAAAGACAATAATTCTCGTCATTGAGCAAACAAACTTTCCATCAGCTGTGAAAAGTTAGATACAGCGCGATGATTTAATCGCTGCCTATTTCTGTTAATTGATAAAGTAAAATTTATCATTGAAAATTTCTTATCAGCAGGCCGACGTCTTTTTCGAAAAGGAAGTTGCGATCTTTGACCAATTGAGTGAAAATGGTCTCTATCTAATGAGACGATCATTGAAATATTAGTAAAATATCTCGTTACTAAATGTTTAGACCATATTTTACGATCGATTGTTATTGAATCGATTTAAGATAAAGGAGTGGAAGCTAAGTGGAATTTATAGATTCTTGCCACGCTTCGTGAAAATTGTCGATAATTATGAGGGACAAGTTCACATTCAGCGTGAGTATCATTTGATACGATGTTGCAATCGATTTTGTGTTTTTTAATACGTTTGTCGCGATTTACAAGAGAGTCGAAAAAAATAAAGAAAGAAAACACAACGTCTGGCTAATATTTGGTTTGTAACCATCAGCATATGGAATGAAACGCTTGTAGACAGCTATCACTCGAGACCGTAGGTCACAGAGATTGTAGCATATTCTCTCTTCTATTTATTGTTAGAGATAATCATGTCGTTTTGCGCACGCCGCATGTGAGTTCGTTGAATTTACCGTTACTACCACTTTGTTTATCATCATTTATTTTGCATATCGTATTTTATAAGGTTCGCGAGGAGAACGCTGGCGTATATTGGGAACGAAGTGCAATATGCAATATGTATTATTTATATCCAAAGTGATAGAGATAAATCTTTGTTGATGTAATTTACAGTCGGGGGTGCCGGACATGCACGAGACCCTGTCTAGCTTCCCGGAACAGTTTGGGGATGGCCCGAGAAAACCGGAAATAAAGCCGGAAATTCCGAAGGAGACGGATAGAACCGCGGACAATCTGAAATGCGGTTGGTTCTGGTTCAGGCCAATTTATTTGCAGAAATTTCGCACTGCGAAATGGGCGCTCTTCTGGCTGTGTTGGGCTGGGGCGATGCAAGGTACGTAGTTTTGATAACTTTTCGTATGGTAATTCACTCGGCGCGACGTGGGGCTTCGCTGCAAAAAAATCGTCAATAAACTTATTAACGCCGTCTAAAAACGAAATTTTCAATAACAATGTTATGAAGACGCTCGTCTAAGTTAATATATTAGATTAGTGCACAAAATTTTTAATTTTTCCGTTAAATTTATTTAATTACAAAATTCCGAATTTTTTTTAAAAAGTAATTGAAAAGGCTTTTAAATAAATAAAAAATTTTTCGATAAAAAAATTTTTTATTAAAAGTAATATAGATTGTTTAAAAAATAATTTAAAAAGTTTCTGAAAAAATAAAAATGTTTTTTATTGGAAAATAGTGCGTTGAAACCAATGTTGCTATTGGAAATTTCGCTATATTTTTTTTACTGAAATTCTTTTTAAGCTTCATTTGACAGATATGAGACAGCTTTTGCACTAATCTAATATTTCTCATAGTTCCTCCTTTCGAGTTTGTCAGTTAGCGTTAGTGCGTGAAGCGTAACTTTCTCTCCGAGATTAGACGCGAGTGTCAGGGACGCGAATATTTTCATACCCATTTTCTCATCGCTTCGCAAACTCTTAAAAAAAAGAGCGAACAAGCCGCATCTTTGTGAGAAACATAATTCCTTGATAACATTTGATACGATGAGATGTTGTCGCGCAGCAACGCTAATAGTCATACGTTATCCGCAATTTTGATGCTTCTACATGAAAATAAGCTCGAAGGGGGTGATGATTGACGATAATGAGAGAATTATCCGATTAATATGTATAGTTCGCGTTAACAAGAATATATCGGAAGGAATAACGCGTTGATAACAGAAAGGGAAAATTTAAAAAAATTTATCAATCGTTGAAAAATACGTAAACTTGCCAATCAAGAAATTATTTTGGATAAAATTCATTACATTTTTAATAAAATATTAAAATATATCACTATGAAATACGTGTTTCCTCTCGCCAGAGGTGATTCTTTGGGATTAAAATACGTCTATTAGATGCATCCTAAGGGAGCCATTTACTCTGTGTTCCTTTAATAGAGATTACAAAGACCTATGTTTATGTACATTGTAATATCATTAAATTCTCAACAGTGTGCAAATATATGTATATCACACGACGACATATTTCATTATGCTTGTTAAAAAGTCGTTTGTGATAATTTGTATTAATTAAAATTTGTTAACTGTCGCAAAATTATCCTTTAATTTTAAAACGAACTATCAGTTTCGAGTAGCAATCGTAAAGTTGGCTCGTATAGGTAGTAAATAGAGCTATCATGGTACTGGTTATGCATCATACGTATACATAATATACAAGTATCTTCATTGTTTCAGGAATGGTCGTGAATGGTTTTGTAAATGTCGTTATAACGACGATAGAGAGGAGATTTGGATTAAAATCGTCGGAGACTGGCTTGATAGCGGGTGGATACGATATAGCTAGTTTTCTTCTTCTCATACCAGTAAGCTATCTTGGTGGCCGTGCGAAAGCGTCGAAACCAAGGTACGCACATGTATACCGCGTCGTGCCATTACCTTACACATTAATATTAATACCAATATCGGTTCTATACGACGACTCTCATAAATATTAATCTTAACGCCAGTTCGTCCGACACTGCCGATGTTAATCCCCGTCGCGTTTCTTTGCTACGACACTGTCTCGGAACCCTCGTCCTTGTAATCGACAATCGATAACCTTTCTGAAGATCTTAAATCTCGCCAGGTAGAAATACCGAGTTCGATGACGGTCGTTCGTAGACAATTTTACCTAATTAAAGAAAAAAAAAAAAAATTATAAGCTAGCACCTGCCAAACAATACGTACTGAGCGATGGTATTTCTTACTCGGATTCGATGCATCCTTGAAAGTATAAAAGTCTAGAATTAATTTTGCATTTTGATTAATTTATCCTATTTCAATGAGATGTTCTGGAATGTCGTAGGTATATCGGCATAGGGGTTCTAGTCTTAGGTATAGGTAGCCTGCTGTTTGCATCTCCGCATTATCTTGCCGGACCGTATAGAGGAGGTCAGCAAACAGACAACATATGCCAAAGTGTCACTAATATATCGAGCCATTCGGTAAGCTAGTAAATTAAATTACTATGGAATTGTAATTAAAATTCTTCATTTACATATCCGGTTTACTTTATCACAACGTGACAAGTTTAATCGAAAACGATGGCTTGCCCTCTCGTAACACTTTCTAATAACAACACGGTTATATTGTAATGTACACACGTTAAATTCTCTCGTTAGACTCCTAAATGAAATTTACGTCACAATCGATAATTCAACACAACAATGCGTAATTCAATGCGTGCGTGACTAATCGAAACTTGTTTGTAATACCGTGCTTTTCTCGATTTCCCACTTCTATTTACGTAGTTTGCCTAGTGAACCGGCGACGCCAGATTTATCATTATTTCGGCCACTCAGATATCCTGCACGGATCAATCTACCGTTCAAGCGGACCTAGAGCCTTACAGTGGCGTGTACTTAACCATATTTCTGGTAGCTCAGCTGTTACATGGCGCCGGTGCGGCACCCTTTTATACGCTCGGGGTTACATATTTAGATGAAAATGTTTCGAAGAAGATGTCTTCGGTGTATCTTGGTAAGATCGGTATAAGCAGCACAAATATATCAATTTTTTTTCTCAATTGATATTAATAAAACAAAATGTATTGTCTGTTAGGTGTTTATTATACTATGGCTATAATAGGACCCGCGCTAGGCTACGTTGTCGGTGGCGAACTATTGAAAATTTACACAGACTTTCTCACAGTGGACTCCTCGACGTAAGTATTTAAATATTTCAGTGGATCGATTTTTCCAAACGCGCGCGGCTGTTTCCTTTTTATTTTTAAAAAATAAATCAGACATCTTTATTGTCCGCGCGGGAAGACAATGAAACAGGAGTGATGGATATTTTATTTGTGTAATGCATAGTATGGTGTGCATCGAACGAAGACAGGGAGAAACATAGTAGCGGTGGTGGCATCGGAATTCGTCTCTTCCCGTTGTCAGGCTAAACGCATTTTCCACTTTTTTTTTTCCCTGATAACATGCGGGAACGTTTAGTCGCGCGTCAGCGGCAACTTTATTAAATTCTCGCGAGGATTTATCGGTCGTTCGCGTCTATCTCTCCGACGGAATATACACACGTATTGTGGGTGTGTACGGACACGAAAACGCGCGTGCCAACGCGCGGTTTCGAACGGAATAACTCGCCGATCTGATGGTATGCAAATGTGCATATTCGTCATTTCGCCACTAGTATTCGGATGACGTGCGTATATATTGGTCATTTGTACGGAATTCGATATTAATAGTAAAATGATCTCCCAGTAATACATAAAGCGTCGATTAAATAAAGCGTGGGTGAGCGTGCAACCGAACGCTCTGATCCGATTAGCTAATTTTCGAGAATAATTATCAAAACGACGGTAACGGTTTGGTGTATTGTCACCATTCGATATTTATATTCGATATTTCCCTCTTCCAAACAAAAAAAAAAAGAAACATATATTTAGTCAAGAGGTATGAAAACATAAAGAGACACATTGCTCCTTTAATGCACCGTTGCCGTTAAAAATATTCCCCAGGATCATTAGAGCGTATAATGGGCCGAGATTAATAGTGCGTGTAACTCTACCGATATACAATATATCCCGTGGGGAAAATGTCAAGTGGCGAACCCGTGTTTGACGATGTGACACGCCGATATTACCCTTCAAAATTGTTGGCTCATCCCCCCCCTAGCACTTAGGACACAATCAAGTTCCATTTGTCTACTCGCCTCCCCGTGGACCCTCCCCCAACTACGCGTCCTTTCATCGACCGTTGAGTCATTCTGTACCGCGTGAGAATCAAATTAATCGTTAGGCGAGAAAACTTCTTTTCACATATTTTTTTTTCGTACTCACACGCATATATCTAAAAATCTGATATACACGAAATAGGGACGAGCAAATAAATCGCGATGCGTCTCTACAGTCGCACTGTTGCGATTGCAATTACATCCTTTCTCTTTTACGCGAAACGAGATTCTTCAAGAAAAAAGACAAATGTAAGGTGAAATTATTCGTGTAATAGGTGCGGCTCTCCTATCGCTCTCCACGTGAGAGTCGTTCGTGCATGTGCCGCGTTTAATTTCGCAGGTAAATGAAAAGTTTCGCCGGAGATGCAGCACTGGCAGCAGCAGATGTAGCTGGCCTCGAGCCGGTTGAAACGAATGACTTCTCTACGTGCACTTTTCCGCTTTCTCACTTTCAAGTTCCTTCCTGTAATAAGTTACATTATAGCTTCCCTCGCGTGCCGTTTCTTTAGTAATAGTTTCCGACCGTTATACAAATTATTCCTTTTCTTGGATCAAGTATCGATTCTGCCGTTTATCAGGCATTCCATTCACTATCGTATTTATCGTATTTATTACCTTTGAGAAAATTAGCATTGTTATCAATATATTTCCATAATTTTACTGGATCAAGTGAAATACTCAATAAATATTCGCAATTAATATTTATCAAAATATTTAGCAGAAATCCTTTATGTTATTAATATTTATGAGAATAATATTATTCATTTTAATTATATAACATATGCCATTCTAGAAACTACAGTATATACTTCAATGAAGAAATTCTTTTCCATTCTGTTAAAAAGATAGATCTTCTTTTATTAAATTTTTTTTATTAATCGACAATTATACATTCTTACAATTATATATTTCTCATACACTGAAAATTTTAGCAAAATTACTTTTATTCAGTTAAATAACCGCGTCATTAATGTCGAAGCCACGCAAAAGGAACGTCCGCTGCATCTCGTACTGGCGATTAATCAAAGAAGTTACGTGAAACTTTGTCAATCGAGAATTTCTAATTACCCGAAATTAGGATTGCCAAATTAGGCAAAAAGTTAAATGAGAATATGTAAGTACTTTACAAATGCGCTCGGAATAATTCTTTAGATCACATCTTTTTCCGACGGAGAAAAATCGGTCAGATGTTTTTTCTTACAATTCATTCAATGATAAAAATGAAAGAAATTAATCGGTGTTCTAGTTTCGGTCCAACTTACGTCCATTAAAAGGAAACTTGAAATAGAATCCTGAGATCTACGTGGAATAAATTCTAAATATATTTCCAGAGGCACATGTTTTATCGAAAATCTATTGCATCCTAAAACCATTGAATTTTAGGATTGGGTTAACTTCTGATAGTAATGTCTGGGTTGGTGCATGGTGGATCGGTTTTTTGGCAGCTGCTGTCATATGCTTCGTCATCGCGATACCAGTTTTGGCGTTTCCGGCAGTTTTACCCGGTACGATCTTTTCTACGTTTTTAGATGGAATAATAATTGTTAAATAAACGGAAGATATATTAAATGAATATTTAGTAAGCTGAATTCTAAAAAGATGGATGGTTTGAATAGGATCGGAGGAATTAGCTAAGGATAGGGTGTCAGAAGCGCACGAGAAATCGACTCGATCTTCTACCGCGGCAACGGGGGAAGCGTTTTCGAAGATACGAGAGCTGCCACGTGCTATGACCGAATTACTTGGAAATCCGGCATTTTTTATGCTGAACTTGGCAGGTGCCAGTGAAGGGTTGCTCATCGCCGGATTTGCTGCTTTTCTACCGAAACTGATTGAAAATCAATTCAGCGTCAGTGCCAGTTCGGCCGCGTTGCTGATGGGTGAATAATGTCACAATTCAATTAATCTATCGTAATATAGCATGAATTTCGATAAGCACCGTTGTAAAATCATTTTCACAAAGCTTCGAAAATGATTCGATATAAAGGAAAGTAATGCAAACTACAAAGAACCGCGAAGAAAATTTTAACAAATATTAATTAATTATCGCTATCGGTTTATATTACAAAATAATGTTTTCTTATTTTTAGGATTGGTGACTGTACCAGCCGGAGGCGGCGGTACATTTCTCGGTGGTTACCTGATAAAACGCTTCAATTTGCCCTGCTCTGGCATTTTAAAATTTTGTTTACTGGCTACAGCCGCCTGCATCGCTTTCACGCTGTGTTTCGCTTTAAATTGCCCGAATTTGGATTTCGCTGGATTGACTGTGCCCTATCAAAACATCACGAGGTCTGTACTATCGATGGATTTGAAATGGCAACGAAGTGATATAAATCATTAGTGATTCATTCGATTACGTTTACTTTATTTTATTATTAGAAATGATGAATTTTGTTTACAGAAGGATCGCGTTGTCTCTCGAAAACACTTGCAACAATGGTTGCGGATGTTCTAGATTGCAATTTAACCCTATATGCGGCGTGGATGGAGTCACGTACTATTCACCCTGTCACGCTGGATGTTATCGGGAAACACCGATAAACAATGTCAAAGTATATTCCCCGGTGTATCTCTAAAATAGCGTTCCGTTTTTCAGACAGCAAATAAATGTCACGCGCGACTGTCTTTCTAGATATACTCGGATTGCAGCTGCATACACGCATCAGCGATGAATTTGACGAGCGAAGATACCGGCGACGTCGTCCAGTACCAAGCTGTCAATACCACCTGCGGAAGTTCATGCTCGTACCTGTGGCTGTTCATCGTCCTGGCATTTTGTAATATGTTCATGACGTTCCTATGCACGATGCCAGCGCTCTCGTCCACCCTGAGAGTCGTGCGCGACGATCAACGATCATTCGCTTTAGGCATACAGTGGATCAAAGTTCGGATTTTAGGAACTATACCGGCACCAATGGTATTCGGTGCTCTTATAGACGATACCTGTATCTTGTGGAACGAAACGTGCGACGACAGAGGGGCGTGCCTCGTATACGATAACTATTACATGAGCAGGTTGGCAATTTACACGGTGGTTCCTTGAGACATACATTCGCAGATTAGTTCTTACAAGTTTCAAATGAGTTTGTCACAAACATGTTTTTCACAGGTATATGCTAGCGCTGGCGTTCATCGGAAAAGCGGCTTCGCTTCTTTTCTTCTTTTTGGCATGGTGGACGTACGTTCCACCCAGCACCAGAGGCATCGATCAGAATTCTCGGCAGCAAACGACGGCTACTTTAATGCTAAGTGACACGTCTCAAGAAGTTGAAATAGTACCGGCTACGATAGCGTAATCTCGGATTATTTTATTTTTCTTATTTAGAAAGTTATTCTTTTTAGAACGGTTATTTTATAGATAGAATAGTAGAAATATCCGCGGATTATACACGGTTAGACAAATGTCCCAACATATTTTTTTTTTTTTTTTTTTTTTTTTTTTTTTTTTTTTTTTGATGAGATACACTCTGAGAAACAAGACAATTCACGTTAAATGAGAATATCGACATAAACAGATATGAAGATAGGATAAATGCGTATATGTCAATATACAATGTGAACAAAAGTTGTCATAAAACTCCTTTTTGCACGTTAGAAAGATAAGTTTTTGATAGCCCTACAACCGAATGTAGTTTGAAAAGCTATAAATTCGGAAATCAATCGGGGGATGTAAAAAAACATATCCAGATAGTTGTGCCAAAGAGCCTATAATATGCAAAGCATATTCTTCATTTTCTTTATATAATAGACTTATAATGACATTATAAGTCTTAAGCCTGATTGCATCAACGTTACTTTGACTTTAAGCGAAGCTTAAAAATATCTCTTTCGTTTTTGAAAGCATAGAAAGACAGAAAAAATAAAGTTTAAGGCTCGCTTAAAATTAAAGTAAAGGTGGTGCAATCGGGCCTTAATTAAATCTATAAACACGGGCCAAATATCCCATTTGCGCAACTCGATCCAATTTCCCCTAATGTAAACTTTTATATTCCTACATTCGCTGACTGTCAATTAAAGATTAATTAACTGTATTCCCTATAATGATAAATATCGATAATGATAATAGTTCTTTATACCCAAAATGTGACTTACATAAATTTTGATGATGGTTTTGCCATGTATCAACCTTGGTGGTTGTCGTATACTATATTATCGATTTGATATTACACTTTCTGCGCCGTTTTTCGCTATAATTATTTTTATTAAACGAAAAACGCCAGTATGCCTAGAGCACGTATTTATACATGTCATCAATAAAAAGCTGAGATATATTACAAATCTTTGTCTCTCAATATGAGATTTTCCATTTTTTTTTCTGTAGAATATATTTTGATAAGCAAATCTTGTAAATATTTGTTTCAAAATATTATTGACGTACTTATATTAAAATTGCATATTTTAGAAATTATTAATTTTTTTGCACTCTGTTAGAAATAAAATAAATAGATATTCACAATTGATAAACTAGGAAACGATTTTGACAGATGTCGCTCAATACTTTTATGCAATTAATGATTGTTGATAAAATCGTTAACTATATCTGGAGCTCTTTAAAAAAACTTTTAATTGTGATATGTTATTTTAATGAAGTAAAAAATATATTGTCAAAATAGGAATGTATCTTTTATAAATTCATAAATGCACATTAAAAAAGTAAAGAAAAACATTCTTTCTTGAAAAAAAGAGAGTTAGTTATTATACATCTAAGTGAATATTGTTGAAATAGTAAAAGACACAATATTTAAAATGTGTTTTCACGTATTTCAACAATATTCACGTTGGCAAATACAATAAAAATGTAATAATTCATTGTGTTATACTGTTCTTGCTAGAAAACGGCTATTAATATGTGTATTTATGTATTTATGGAGTCTTTATACATATACATTTATAACATTTTATATGAGTGCACTATTTTTTTAATATTTGATATTTTAAATATTTTTACATATTTAACTATGTATTAAATTATATATTAATATATATTAAAAAATGTATCTAAATACATTTTGTGACAGATTCTATGTTTTTTAGAAGCAGAAATTAGTGTAAAAAATTCGCAATGCTCCTAAGCAACATTTGTCCTTATTTAATATTTGATAAACAATAAGAATGAAATGAGCGTTACGAGCGGCAAGTGGAACGCAGTTTAAGTGTGCCAGGTATATTGTCAGGAAAAGGTAAAGAGAGGGAAGTAGGAGATGAGAGAAGAGAGAGAGAGAGAGAGAGAGAGAGAGAGAGAGAGAGAGAGAGAGAGAAAGAGAACAGCTTCAGACTCATCCTCGAGTTACTTTCACTTGAACTTCTCGTAACGCCGTGTAGTGATCTTCTAGAATCTAGACGGTGGAGCGGAGCTCCTGCTTTCCGCGTAATTCGAACTCGCGTAATTTTTTAGTGATCTTAGATTATTTAAAAAAATGGCGTTTTACTGGATTCTACAATCGTATCTTCTATGCATGTTATTTGTTGTTATTACTCACGCTGAAGAAGTTTTTGTAAGTAATAGGATTTTAATGTTGTTGTGTTAATATACTAATTATGTTACATCGGATTAACTTGATGCCATAAAAAAATGAGGAATTGCTTATACTTACATGAGTTTACAAATAAGTTCAATTATCTCGCTTTTAAATACGAATAAACGTCTTTAAGCTGTATGATTCAATCACGATTGTTCACCCACGCAGAATACCACTCCGCTAACCGTCAAAACCAGCTTCTCCTGTCACAACCGGCCTATGGGATTTTACGCTGACATCGAAGCGAATTGCAAAATATATCACACGTGCGATGATCACGGGAACAAATTCACTTACCGATGTCCCGAAGGAACGGCTTTTCGTCAAGATGCCTCGGTATGCGATCACGTTTATCTTGTCGATTGCCAAACGACTATTTATCCGTCGGCTCAACTTCCAAACGAAAATACAGACAAGGAAATCGCGCACGTAACTTCCTCGACGAGGTCCCCAGTGGAATCGAGCATCTCCCCAGTGGAATCGAGTAACTCCCTCGATGATCATCGGTTGGCATTTTCGCGTTCTTTCCATGTAATTCAACGACCTGACAAATCCATGCCGAATAAGTTTCAAACCGGCTTCGTCTTCAGCGCGAATCTATTCTTAAAGGATCAAGATCGAAGGCGGAATCAAGCTCGGCAAATCACCGACAATTGCACGACGTGCAACGATGATTTGAGGAACCACATGACAGTTTCCACTGTACGGACACTTACCAAAGAGTTCGATTCTTGGAATCTACGTAACGACAAGCCAACGGTATCAAGACAGTCGTTATCTTTGCCGTTGTCAATGACTCACGACAATAGCAACGTGTATCCCAATCATTCATACGAGCCGCTCTCGAATTCTTCGCCCGCGAAAGTGATGACATCGGAAGATAACCGGCATTCATCTCCTCTGCGTGAGAAGTCTTTCTCCAGTTACAACAGAGATATCCATCCGTACTCCGAGACGTTACGATCGATTCAAGCTAACGCTTACGTAAAATCTACTACAGAAATTCCTGTGCACGCTTTGACGCTATCTTTAGAGCCGTTAGTACCTAACGAGCTGGAATATGATCCTTATTATCCCAGACAACCGACGTCTACCGAAGCGTATTACACACCCAGCAATCGCAACAGGATTAATATGAATACTCGACTTTCCAGCTCCAACCAAGCACCGCTAATAGTCGTGCACCCTAATCTTCCTTTTGAGATTCCGTCTGTGCTGCCTGATTTGAATACCTTGGAAGATCTGGTCGATCGCCGGAAGTTTTTCTATATCCCGCGCACAAATGTGAAATCGATATGATGCGCCATTAACTGTTTAATCGTCAGACTTGCAATGTTATGTAAAAGAATTTTTAAATATTTTGCAAAATGAGTCATGCACAGAATGTTCATTGTTTATATTGACGCGTATTATTTGTGATTTATCTAAAAATATTTTAATAAACGTTGAATACCATGGAACTCGGCTTCAAAGGAGCCTGCGCTTCTGAAGCAGATGATACATGTGTCGTTGCTATGCTGAAAAAATATAATAACGTTGATTTCTTTTTTTTTAATTTATATGTAAGAAATTTAATAGTGCGATTATATTCATTGACGTCGTATCTAAAATACTTTTCTCTCGGGTTCCAATGTTCTTTAAACGATGTTAATAGTTTCGCAGTGATCTGCTGAATGTTTATTGAACCTTGAAACATTCCGGTTAATGTGGCTATTATTCCGTGATTGTGATATTTTGCTTGTAAGTGCTTAACCGTTGTCGTAAATTCTGGAACTATCCATAATGCATATTTTATAATATGTTAAATTAAAACTACAAAAAATCAATTATACATCTTGAATAAGTCCTCACCAGAATGTATTTCTCTAATCGGTAGCATTTGCTGTAAATTCTGTATGTCTTCTGATAAACAGCGACATTTTTTTGCAAGGCGTCGAATATACTCGTTTTCTTGTTTGAAAAATTTAATACTTTTATGCAGCTCCTCAATTTGCATTTGTAACCGCAATTGCACAACTTCCTCTATCCAACGTTTAACATTCGCATCTTTTTCCAACTTCTGCATCTTCGTTTTCTTGACCTTTACTGTGTCACCATGTACTTTTATTTTTCTTGAATGTAAATGCAGACCTAACTCTTCAAGTTTACTAAAAAAATACACGAAATATGTATTATTTTATAATCGCGATCATTTGTTTTAGAAGAGATGTTTTGAAATAAAAACTAATGTGTAATATGATATTTAATGATATTTAATTATATTATATGTGATGTGTTTTGCAGAAATCGAGAAATTTATATGATATTTATTTATATTTTATATTGGCGCAAAAAAATAAAAATTATACATATATTTATATAATATTGTACGTTTTGATAAGTTCATCTTTTGCTACAGGCATCGGATTGATAGACACTTTGCTTTCAGTTCCTTCTTTCACAATTAATCCACACGCGCACGGACAAAGCTGAAAATAATTCAGTTAATTATTCAAGTTCACAATTTTATAATTTTTTACTATCAATTTTTTACAAATTTTTAATTGTATTACATTAATACGATGAAAAAAGTATTAAAATATTTGCATATATTACCGATACATAGTACGTTCAAAGAATTGTTATTATGTAAGTTTTTTATTATACATATATCACATTTTATTTTTCGAATAT